CCCCAAAACCCCAAAACCCCAAAACCCCAAAACCCCAGATTTAAAAGATCTGGTTGAATTTTAAGACGTAATGCTGGTCCTTCCTGCTCCTGCAAAGTCAAAATTCTCGAAATATCTATAAGTTGGTTGCTTCTGAGTTCTGTTCCTTTTTAGAGAGAGGTGTTTGATTCTTTTGATCTGTTCAATGTCAACTCCTTTGGAATCATTGAGTTCGTCATCAGAAAGTTCTGCAAGCAATTCTTCAACCGGGTTATCTCTCCTTTGTGTTTTCTTTCGCTTTTGAAATTCCTTAGACTCTTCAAAATTATTACCTCCTGAAATTGCGGTTCTAACAAAAGAGGTAACAGCTGGGAAATGCAGCTTACCAGCTTCAAGTAAGTCCCAGTCGATACTCTTGAAGAAATCATGGAACTTAATTTCCTCAGCTCCCAGATCTGAATATCCAAGCCTATTAAAGTTCTTGATGGTCAAAAGCCCGTTAATCAATGACTTGGCTTCACTTGAGAGCTCAGGCCTCATCTTAACTGGGATCTCACAGATTCTTTTGTACATTGAGTATACATCGTTGTTCTTGGTTTTAAAAGGATGTTTGCCAGTGAGCATTTCATAGATAAGAACGCCAAGACTCCACCAGTCCGCTGACTTGTCATAAGGTCTGCCTTCAATAATTTCAGGAGCAATGTACTCTGGAGTTCCACAGACTGTCTTGGTAGTTTTGTTGTTAGTCATGCCTAATTTGGCAAGACCGAAGTCAATCAGGACTGCATTGCCATTCTCATCCAAAAGAATGTTTTCTGGCTTCAAGTCCCTGTAAAGAATATTCTTCTTATGCAAGTGTTCAACAGCCAGCACAATCTGAGCTGCATAAAATCAGGTTATCTCTTCATTAAACTTTTTCTTTTGCTTAAGATGGTAGAATAGCTCTCCCCCTGAGACAAGATCCATAACAAAATAAAGCCGATTTTTTGTCTGGAATGAGGAATACATTTTAGTGATATTTGGATGGTCAATTGAGCTCAGAATTTGTTTCTCAGCAGCTAAATTCTGGAACTCTTCATCTTGACAAATTGCATTTTTGTTCAGACTTTTCAAACAGTAGATTTTATCATCAAGTTTGCTCCTAACCTTATAGACTTTACCAAAATGCCCCTTCGATAGGTACTCTATATCAGTGTAATCACTGAGCTGTGTGCCTGGATTATTCGAAGGGATCTTCATGGTCATTTTAGAGTCAAGAGCACACTCCCTCCAATTATGAACATCCCTATCAATGATCTCTTGAATATGATCTTTCTGGGAGCGACATATATTACCCATATTCTGCTTTCACAAATAAATTATTAACTAATACTATCTAATGGATTAGAAAAGGGGTTTTGGGGTTTTGGGGTTTTGGGGTTTTGGGGTTTTGGGG